ATGAAATCATTTTCGTCATCTTCTTCTGCTTGGACGCATATCCATCTCAATTTGAAACCTTGTTTCTTGATAACGCCTCACTGGAGAAGTTCATGATAAATACTACGACGGTAAAAGATGGAACCCAATATACAACCACTCATTTGTATTTGGTAATGACATAATATCACTCACATGTACATTAAGGTAATAACTTAGTTTATATAACTCCGGAATAAGTTGATCGAAATGGCAAGTGAGGAAGTGACACGGCATGCACGTGGGTGCATGGCATCCAGTTCATCATCAAACACTCGCAATCACAGTCATGCCTTGACAAGTTTATCGTAACCGGAGTTACATTTTCTATGAATATTGGGTAAAGTCCACTATAATGATTGTGCGAGATTACAATAGTGTGATGCCTTTGTTTCCATTGGTCCATAATTTCCTTTTGGATTTTCCTCGGATATTGATATCCATTTTGATTCCACATCATATCAGCATTACGTCGTTCTGCATAGAGCTGAACTACCAGTTGTGAACGGGGGCTCCATATGTGTATCATGATGTGTATCCTCATCATGTAACCCATATCTTGTGGATCTGCTCTGTTGGCCATGGCAGTGGGGCGATGCGTGTCCTTCAACATTCTGATATGTGATTATGTCGTGATCTATGACTTCTTGTGCACCTATTCACCTTTAACAATTCTTGATTCACTCCATCATTGGGTAATCTCGAGGGTCACCTCTGTCACACAATTCTCAAGCAACCTTCGCCAAACATTAAAGCTACAATATAAATTTATACAATTAATACTATAATAGTTGATTCTGGATGACTCGGAACAAATCCAGCTCTATGACAACCTTGTGAGGGGTTGTTAATTTGCATCTTACCCACGTAACAGAACCATGCACAATACTCCTCGGTGAAGCCCCCCTAGTCGTGTCAAACACATAAAAATTTTGTCGTCGATCTTCTCATTCTCTAATTAAGCCAGCTCTGGACCGTGGTCAAGTAGCATGGTGACGGTCACTGAATTTGGTATATCCAGAAGTGCATCGAATTGACGAAAAAAAATTGGCAGGATAATATGACTCAAAATAAGTGGAACTTGAGCTGACCACGGTTTATATGCATATGTGCGAAATGGTGGAAGACTCATACGCGAGTATGGGATTCATTCAAACTGCACAAAAAGTTGTTCCATATTAGTAAAAACTATATATATATATATAGTGTGGTTCCAGTGAGAACGATGCTTAACGTGAGAACGTGAGAACACTCACATTTAAATCAATGTGGTGCACAATGGAGTTGTTCTGTTGCACATTTTCAATTCGCTCAAGTTAAGTATATAATAAATAAGCACAGTGGCATTTTGGTAAATATTGTGAAAATGGGAAAAGTGCAATATGCAAGCTTCATTGTTCAACACTTTGGGGTAAAGGTGGTGTTCTCATGTTCTCACGTTAAGCATTGTTCTCATTTGATCTTTATGTGTGTGTGTGTAGGGTAAGGTTCAAGTGAGAAGAACCCTTTAGGTGAGAAGTGAGAATGAATCTCAGCCATTGGATTCGACTAAGTTGCAGTAAAAGACACTTCATGATGCACTGAAATATGCAATCTAGCACGGTGGCATTTCGATAAATACTTATGAAAAATTCGTATTACACTTGTCTAGTGCAACATGAAGCTATTTTGGTGCAACGCCATCAAATATTAGTGCAACATGAAACAGTTTTAGTGCAACATTGCAAAATTTTAATATTACTGCAACATAAAGTCATTTTTAGTGCAACTTCTTAAATCCAATGGCTGAGATTCATTCTCATTTCTCACATTAGTTGCATTTCTCACTTGAACCAATATATATTCCGTCTTGTTTAAAACTTTTAATTAAGAATCGCCTAGAACATGATACGTGGAATACTTTTCTTATTTGTATATGTCAAATGTATTATCTATAGATATGTAATTATTTCTAGTATAATGGTAGCCCGGTTGGTCTAGTTTCATTTAATCTGGCATCATTTGTCCAATTTGAAATTTTATGATTTGAGATGTAGTTGTCTAGTATAATCTTTGAATTCATTCTACCATTGAGCGGGGTCATTGTCGAAAAAATAGAATCTTTGAGTTCATAACTTTCATCAATAACATATTTTATTTCCTATTAGTAAAAATTAAAAACTTATATTCGTAACATTTACAATTAGAAAATTTTAACAACTTTTCCCAAATTATAATTCTAATAACTTCATATTTAATATACAATAAAAAAGAGCATGTGAATAATATATAATTGATCAATTTACAATTACTTTAGAACCAAGATAGTAATATATAGAATGATTTAACTTTTCAAATGAGGTCAATTGTATTCTAAACACTATGAAGTTAACGAATACAAATTAAAAGTAAAAAGAATATATAAAATGTGGAGAATAAATTATGTTACGTAGTAAATAGTACTCCGTAACAAAGAAGGAGCAGACTTAGGAAGTGTTTAGGATTGCTTCTACTTCAAAAAATGATTTTTTAAAGTGATTTTGGAAAAAAGTACTTAATACTAAAAGTTGATAGTGTTTGAGAAAAAAATGTCTCTAAAAAGTAAAAGTTGATAATGTATGGTACTATAAGTGTTTTTGGTGTAATAGAAAAAATGAAAAACAGTTCAAATCACTCTTTCATATGCTTCCAGCTTTTAACTTTTAATTGCTTATTTTAACCAGAAGTTGTCATTTATTTTATTATCAAAACGGTTTTTCATTAATATAGAGCAAACATGCAAGACAAAATCCAAGATAAAGCCTAAAACTATTGAAGATAAAACATTGTCTATCAAAAGTTCTTCAAAAATCAAAATATTCTAACCATAGTTGCACGAACTGAAATAAAAATAAGTACTGTGAAAGAAAAAGTAATACGAAAATAAAAACTTTATCCAAATTGCTTCCTCGCACGGAGGTGGTTCTGGAGGAGGGCGATCTGTTGTAGTATGGTAGAAGAGAATTTCATTTCCCGGAAAATTCATCGAAACTGTATCCTTCTTGCGCCCGCCAATTTGCTCCTTGAGATTTGTCATTGAAATCCATGTCCGAGGTGTAGAAGAAAACTCTATTATGTTCCCTTGTGTTTCTTCCCCCACATAATCCAAGCCGCACCCCTCGCCATTGCGTTCCACTCATGTTCCAAAACTCTCAAAAGGAAACCACGTGAAGCTCTCGTTCCACGAGAATCTAAACCGCACGAGCGAAGCTCGGCGGAATAAAAAAAAACCTAACTATGTAGGAAGAGACCCGCACCACAACAATATTGATAGTGGAGAGAAAAACCCTAGCGACAAATCACCCTAGAGATAGAGATAATCCTCCACCAGTCTTCTTTCACAATATTGATAAATGTCTTGCATGAACCTATGTTAAAGCTTAATATCATATACGGAGTAATTATTACTCCACGTCCCTTGTAACTTTGCAACTTTCCTTTTATGGATGTCCCATTAACTTTGCCACTTTCCCATTTAAGTAAAGAATTTGTGGTTCCAGTTAATTCTCTCTCCTCTGCACAAACCTCAACCACACAGTTTTGACTTTATTAATCCCTGTGCTAGTCAAAATTGACAAAGTTATTAGGGACGGAGGGAGTATTTAATATTGTCCGGTGCATCACACAAATGAAAATCTCCCAAAGCTGTCATTTTAAAAACTCATTTTAGTTTTTTTCTTCTTAAAGTGAAAAGGTGACATGCACTTTTGTTAAGTTCTAGCAAACAGCCAAACACGACCCTACAACCTTAGGACAAAACAGCTATGTTTAAAAAACCGACCCGACCCGGCCGGGTTGACCCAGAACCCGGTGACCCAGACAAAAAACCGGTTCGGTTTTTTCAAAACCCGGAGATGGTCAAAAACCGGAAAAACTTGACTGACCCGGGAAAACCCGGTCAAGACCCGGACCCAAGAAACCCGAAAAACCCGGTAAAAGCCAGTTTTTGGATGTTTTTACCAAAAAAAGTAATTTCTTTTTTTTTTTATTTTTAATGCATTTTTTATACCAATAAAATTGCAATTTCAATACCTTAAAAAGAAAAACTACGTAATATATTTATATATTTATTTATGAATGAACATCATGCCAAATTATAATATAGATGTACAATAAAAATAAAAATATCATTATATATTTTTATAAGATCAAAATATACATTGAAATATTATAAGAGTGTATTAAATGCTTAATAAGTAGTATTGTTAGTTGATTATTATGAATAACAACTAATTTTTATTATAATTTTATATATAATTAGAAATAATTACATAAATATGACCAAAATAAAGATGATTTACAAAAATATGATTAGTTACTAGAGTAGTAATGAAATCATAGTAATTCATGTTGTAGTTTTGAACTTAAGTTACCACAATATTACGTTGTAGTAATGAATAGTTATATTTATGTAAATAAATTTTATTTTAGTAATATTCTCGTAAAAAACTCATATAATTATATGTTTACTATTATTATATAGACGTATAATCATTGACCGGTTTTCCGGCGTTGACCGGGTTGACCCACCGGGTCCGGGTTGACCCGTGACCCAGTCATGTGGCCGGGTCACTCTCCGGTCCGGTTTTTACAACATAGCAAAAGGGGGTTGCTAGGCGCACCCCATTTATTACTTAATCTAACCCCTAGGGACTAATTTAACCTTCCGTGTTTAATTTTTAATTGAGTTGAAGATTAAAGAGATATTACCCGAAATAGGATTAAAAAAGTTTGCAGATTCCATAATAGGACTTCCATGTTTTTATTTCCAAAATAGAACTAATTACTGCCATATTTTGGCAATACCAGACTTCAAACATGACAGTATTTTCCAAATTTGGCAGTAATTAGTCCCATTTTGGGAATAAATACATGACAGTCTTATTTTGAAATTTTGAAACTTTTTTAGTCAACTTTCCCAAGAAAAAAAGGAGATGATGCATGATGCACTACGTATTTCACAATTGACTTGTTTGTGGGTGCGCGGAGCAGGGGCGTAGCAAAACAGTCGAATTAAGAAAAAAAAATGGGTGCGCCTAGAAATTAATGCAGTGCGCGGAGAAAGTGCTTTGTGTTATAAAGGGTTTTTCACGCGATAATAACGAGGGTTATGCTCAATCCTGGTGAACAAAATCGTACTGGGCTCGGCGCCGTCTACCCGGATTCATCTGAAGTAAAAGAGAAGATTGAAGATTAATAGGGCAAGCGGTGGTGAGTGCTTATAAGCCGATGTCCTCCGCTGCGCAGTCGGCGTAAGATCGTTGCTTGTTCTGGACTGTTTTAATCGAGGGTTGAATTGCCTGATACATAGTGTGGAGTTTGCGGTTCCTGTCTGATACAGCTATGAGCGACGAAATAGCACCCGAATTTATGGAGGATGAATCTGAATCTGACACTTACAGTGGAGAAGAAATGAACGAAGATGAGCAATTTTTTCTTGAACAGGAAGAGATGGAAGTGGCTGGAAGAGGAGACCACACAAGTGACGACACGAGTGACGACACGAGTGATGAAGACACAAGTGATGATACAAGTGACGACACAAGTGATGATGAAGAATTTAGGGGGGAAAGGAATGGAGAAACACATGAACAGGAGGTGTCCGTTGATCGGATCAGTCGTTTGCCTGATGCCCTGCTTGCTAGCATCCTCTCAAATTTGGATACAAAGGAATCTATGGTTACTAGTGTGCTGTCCAAAAGATGGAGATATGTCTGGATGTTGGTGACAAAGCTCAAATTCAGAGAAAAAAGTTTGGAGATTGAGAAAATTCGCAAATTTGCAGCAGGGATCAATAGGATCCTTGTTGTTTTTAACGCTCAATATGTCGTGAACTTTGAAGTTGAGCTCACCTACTATGAAAATTTTGCTGCAGATCTTTTTGTTTGGGTTGTTTATGCTCTGAAATCTGATGTGTTTGAATTTAGTTTGCTGCTAAACCCCTCACCTTCCAAAGATTTATACAAGCTACCCAATTTGATCTTTGATTATCCACATCTGAAAGACTTGTGGTTGAGAAGATGCATCCTGGCTCCTCTAACAGTAGTTGATTGGCCTTCTTTGGGTAGATTGTACCTCGAAGACATAGAGTTGCCACAGGACGTACTCGACAAGATTATAGCAGGCTGTCCTCTTTTGTACAACTGTCTTCTAAGATCATGTTGGGGATTCAGTCGTTTTGAGGCCAACATTCAAAAGTTCACCTTGCTTGGGATAGGAGACTCTGAAGATGGAAATAAGGATCCCCTACTCGAAATTTCAGCTCCCCTAGCACAAACTTTACTTCTTACCCCGTATCTCCAAGGAAGAAAATGGCGGGTCACAAACATCTCTTCCGCAGTTAAAGCTACTATTGACCTTGTTGGATCTGATTGGGATCCAAGCTGTTCGGAAATATTGAGTAACACCAAAGATTTTTTAGATAACCTTCAGCATGTTAACAAGCTCAACCTGGGACGTGATATCATGCAGGTTTCTACTGTCTACTATGTAGTATTATTTTTGTCATTATATTATGTTCTTGCATCTTGGATCCATATTGTCTACAATATGTGACGGCCAAATGGTTTTTGAATTGTTTAAATTGTTAATATGATGTTGCGAAAACGTGTTTAATCCCTAGTTCAGCTTATACCCTTAACTAGTAATGGTACTTACTAACTACTTACAAAGTAATTTTTGAAATACTAAGATCTTGCTTCATACTGTTTGTCTATGTATGCTAGGTTATATCAATGATTGCACTGAATAGCTTGGAGCTTTCACATTCTACCCGACGGTGTTTGGAAGCAAATGTCTCATGCAATGATCTGGACATTGATGGTATCATATGCCTGCTTGAATCTTCTCCAAACCTTGAGACATTGGTCATAGATGGCTATAAACCCAAAAAGGTAAGTGTTCTTGTTCTAAATGCAGGCTTGGATTTATGTTTAGGAGTTGCACTTTCAATTGCTTATGTCTTAATATAGAGTTGTTAATCTGACACTTAAATTTAGTTATATGATGAAATATTGGTCGTAGACAAAGCCTCACTTTGTTTAGTATTATCTTTTTTTGGTAAAAGTATAATGAATCTGAAGTGAGAGTTAAGATCTTTAACCTATTAAAGTAGTACATTTCAATATTAATCAGTAACTAAATACTCTTTATGCTTTGTATATCACAAAAGGTCAACTTTTATATTTGAATTCAATTTCGGAATATGTTAATTTATTGTCTTTGCTCTTACAGAATAGCCCCTGTTTCGATCCTGAATGTGTAACATATGATTTACGCTGTGAGTTATTGAATCTAAAGACAATTGAAATCACTATATGGCCGGATCCAAATTTTCAAGGTAAACCAATGATGACATTGGCGCAACTTTTGCTCAAGGGGTGTACCGTCTTGGAAAAGATGGTTGTTAATGTTGTTGGTACAGATGACTTTGTTAGTGTAATACAAAATCTGCTTGCTTACCCGAGATCCTCACCAAATGCAGTAATCTATGTTCCTTAATGACTAACCCTGCAACACTGACGGTTTGCTGCTGTGTGGAATTTGTAATAGCAATTTCATATTTTCGTTTTTTTGGTGGAGATAATTTCAACCATGTAAACTATCATACAACTATGGACTTTTTTTAGGGCATTGTTGACTCCAGGTTAGACTTGGACCCGGTTCGGGCCGCCCGGCCCGGGACCGGCCCGGTTCTCGGGTCCGGGTCCGGGTCGGGCCTAGGCCCGGTGGGGGGGGCGGGTCCGGGCTCGGGCCCTGTATTTGGCGAACCGGCCGGGTCGGGCCCGGGTCCGGGCCAAAAACTGTTTTTTTTTTTTTTTTAACTTTTCATTTTTTTGGGCTTTATTGAGTTGGGCTTGATGTTTAGGACCGGTTTGGAGGGTTTGGGGGGGGTGGGGGGTGAGGGGGGGGGAGAAAAGAAAAAAAATAAACTAACCGGGTGGCCCGGCCCGGCCCGGAACCGGTGGCCACCGGTTCGGGCTCGGGCCCAACAAAACAGACCCGAGGCCCGGCCGGGCCTAGGCCCGAACCGGGCCCGGGGCCATCCCTGCTCCAGGTTATCCTTCTTCACCACTGCCATGTCTAGATTACTTCTTTTTAAAGTTGATCTAGCGTCTTCGTTTCGATAACAAGGTTTCACTTATGATAAAACTAAGGCCACAGGGTTGAAGAGACCCTCTTCCTGCCCGAAATGTTAAATCCCCACCCCCCACCCCTCCCCCCCCCCACCACCACTAATAAAAAGATTCAAAACTTTAAGCGGGTAAAGGCCTGGCCACTGCCAAAACAGCTGGTGCCAACTCTGTATCTGATGCAACAACTTAAGAAATCATATATTCATATATGCTCCTAAACCTGATCAAATTGTTTTATTCAGCCCCTCAACTGTTAGTGTCCAAAATGAGAAAAAATTAAAAATTAAAAACAGAAAATTTATATAAAATATAAAAATACGAGTCGAAAAAAATATAAATATAAATATGAAGTATTTATATTTAGTAGTAAAGACAATAAAAAATTAAAATATAAATAAAAAGAAATTCTTTGACTTTATTTCCATATTTATATTTATATTTTATTTAAGAAAATAAACATTATATTTTTACCAATTACATTTAGTTTTTTATTTGATTTATTATATCTAATATTTTGTACTATGAATATATAGATTTTGGTTTGATAATTCATATTATGTTTATATTTTCCGATTGTATTTTTTCATTTCATATTTTTAATTTATTTAAAATTATATATATAATAGATTTTTTTGATATAATCATATATTAAGAGTATATTAAAAGTGTTTAATTTTGATGCAGATATACGTTTTCAAAGCTATATAGAAGTTTTAATTCTATACAATGTACAAATTATAGAAAAAAGCTTTTGTACACATTTTACTATTGTACACACTTTTACACATGTTTATGAGAACTTTTTTTTCTTGAAACAAACAAAACATGTTTTGAACTTTTAACACTTCTCGTGAAATTTTTGTTGTGAACTTTTAACATTTCTCCATAAACTTTTGTTTTGAATTATAGTGTGTATAATTGATAGATAATTGTTAGTCATACAGTATAATTCAAGAGAGATTGAGCTAAAGAAAGAGAATATGCATAAATATTGGATGACTAGTTAGGATTTACAATGCCTCTCACAAGTAGTATATATAGAGAAATAGTGAGTCGGGCTGTTAGTATGAGTTTGATTGCCAACTACGTACACAGTTAATCTAGTAGATACAAAATGGATATGTAAATTGTACAAATGTACATTAATACAAATGATGTTTGCTAAGTGAACATCAGTTGATGTCCGTGTCCAATAGTCGTCAGACCGTGTAGGCAGAGTCCATATAGTCTATCACAAATATTATACTGTTGTACTAGGGATCAAAATGTGAAGATGCTATCCATATATTACTATGTGTATATAACACAACACAATACATAATTAATCCAAATATAATTTAGACAACGATGACGACCCAAGAAGATGACCGACTATAGTTGTAATTATCCAATTATAGCTTTAAAAATAGATATTATACTAGTACTTTTACCCGTGCCTTGCACGGGATAATAAATACTTTTATGTTTTATTATATATAGAATTTATTATATATAGAATTATATGTAATGTAGGAAAGAACATTTTATGGTGTTGCATTGTCTCCATGGCATATAAAGAGTATGGTTTAACAAATAAAGAAGATGATACCAATGCTTGTTAAAACCGATTTATTGTTAAGTAGAATTCATCTTCGTCCCTCATCATCTAGCCAAAGAAGGTCAGGACACCGACCTTATCTTTCTAGACGCAAACTTTGACAGTGTTTTGAACATATGATGTTATTATGTCATTTTTGTAAATTGCGCTCTCTTATTGTTTCCATTGTTTCCCTATATAAATTTGTTTTCATTGTTAATAATGCTTCGTAAATTGATTTAATTTTTAAATCAAGACAAATTTAAAGAATACATAATTCAAGAATGATAAATACTTTCTAGAACAAACCACATCACTAAAAACTAATCAAGGTAAGATAAATGGTATAGTATAAGAAAAAATTGCATTTAACAAAGGGCATTTAATAATTCGTTTTCACTGTCTTTGAAAATTTATTTTTATTTTTTAAGGAGTGATTTGGATGGAATTACATTTTTGTGATTTTGTGATGTAGAAGCCGTTTGGCAATATTGTTTTTCAACTTATGATGCTTATCCGCCAACTTTTTCAACAAACACAGAACTTTTGCTTTAGTGCGCTAAATTGTGTAATAAGCAGAAAAAATAAGGTTGAAGTTTCTTTTATGTCTATATTGGCAGAAGTTACTGTAGATGACCATTTTAAGTATTTTTACATATAATATTTTCTTTATTTAATTTACATCAATCAGAACTTTATTAATTTCAACAGAATCAACCAAAATAGTCGATTTTCATTCTACCAAACGGGCTCTTTAAAATGATCCGATAATGATTCGGGTGTCATACGGAGTATCATATTGGAGTAGTACGTAGTATAGTTTTTTTGGAAAACAATTTAGTATAATTATAATTAGATTAGATTAAATCATACGTAGTACTATGGATGTTTTCTTTTGGACTGTTTTCAGTCCCAGACCAGACTTAAACAGACCAGACCAGATCAGACCAGACTTAAACAGACCAGACCAGATCAGACCAGACTTAAACAGACCAGACCAGACCAGACCAGACTTAAACAGACCAGACCAGACCAGACTTCCGTAGTTATAAAATACACAGAGACCAGACGTTTACCAGACCAGACCAAACCAGACCAGTTCAGACCAGACCAGACCAGACCAGACCAGACTTAAACAGACCAGACCAGATCAGACCAGACTTAAATAGACCAGACCAGACCAGATCAGACCAGCAAATTTCAGTCCAAAAGAAAACATCCTATGTATTTTTAAAAAGGGTCATTTTACTCCCCAGCGCCGCAAGTTCGGATTTTCTTCTCAACTTATACTGAACTTCTTATCATTTCACCCTAGACACTACAATCTTCTTGTATATCAACCCTAATTCCAGATTTCTTCATATATTTCCATGTTCTTCTATTTGAAATCATATTAATCTTCGCACCCTTATTTAAAGGATTGTCAATTTCTGAGGATTCGGCATTGCATAGAATCAGTATCTTCGTCGTGGTGATTGTAATTGTCTCTTGGATGGTAAGTGGAGAGGTCATTCGTAGTCATTCCATTCCAGGTAGAGGCGTTCCGTAAATTTCCAAAAATATTACATATTTTTGACGTAGTTATTTGATTTCATTAGTGCTTGGTGTGATATTTTTGTCAGACTAAATCTAAGACCTTTCATAGTTTCAGTAGGCGATTTTATGCAATAGTTGTATAACGTGTGCAGCAAAATAAATGAAAATGAATCATTATTGTTTCATGCCGTCTTAGACTCTTAGTTGGAGAAAAAATCAGATTCATTAATTTTTTTAGATTTTTTTTCTCAAGTAGTTATTTATAAAATAGTTGATTTTTGACGTTAGTTTTATCATTTTTTATATTTTTTTAAATATGTTACTCCAAATAATGTGTTGCATCTCATTTATTGGCAAAAAGTAGTAGATTAATGACGTATCCTTTAAAAGTATGATTGATAGAGTCTATCTTTAGGTACTTGTGTATGCCAATCTCATTTAATTTCTACTTGTGTAGGTAAGATTGAATTTTTTGAAACTGTAAATACTTAATATGCTGATTGAGATCTGGGTAAATGAGCTTGTAATTGCTAAAAATGCTAAATTTGTTGTTTGTATGCAGGTTTTAATTTGAGAGACGATGAGTTTAAAATCTCATATTGACAAAGGAAGAAAAACAGCATATTAATTTGATTATAGAGGCTGCAAGGGGGAGGGTACGTATGAGCAGTTTTAAAGGTCATGTCTGGTAAGATTCCTAAAGAACGGTCAGAATCATTCGATTATATGAAGCGATTTATAAACAAAGAACAAACTATTCTAAAATAGTAGGAGTGCTGAAATTGTGTCTGCACACCAATTATAGCTTTAAAAATAGATATTATATGTATTTGTATATATCACCTCTAATAGGATGATGAGAATGTACGGAATGTTATTTTTTAACTTGGAATCGTAGTTCGGCAATTTATGTGTTACAACCGGTGTGGTTGTGCCTTCAACATGGTACGACAAAGTCTTTTTGTAATATGTTGGAACTTTGTTGTGAACAAAACTCTCGTCTTCTAACATATGAAGCATACGTAATTAAATGTTACGATACTTAATATTACTCTTAATACTCAAGACCATGAACGTGACACTCAATAAAAATGAATTAACGCTCAATCAACCGAAGTCGCAATTATCAACTAATATTACAAAAATACTCCTGACTGTATGATTATCCCGTACCACTTGTTCGATATTCTCGCTCTCAAAGCTCCTTATTTATATGAAATAAATGTCATTTCATAGATTTGTGCCTTCAAAATTACACGGTTCTTTATGCTGGTGCACTGGTTTTTTCGTTATTGAAAATCAATATTTCTAAAGATAAATGAAGTTCACATTTTTATAAATGAAGTTTACTACGTACAACGTACTGCACAAATCATTAAGATTT